AGATATCCTGCGAGACTCCACCAGCTATGTTTAGTACCCAGTTATCCTGCGAGACTCCACCAGCTATGTTTAGTACCCAGTTATCCTGCGAGACTCCAGCTGTGTTTAGTACCCAGTTATCCTGCGAGACTCCACCAGCTATGTTTAGTACCCAGTTATCCTGCGAGACTCCAGCTATGTTTAGTACCCAGTTATCCTGCGAGACTCCACCAGCTATGTTTAGTACCCAGTTATCCTGCAAGACTCCACCAGCTGTGTTTAGTACCCAGTTATCCTGCGAGACTCCAGCTATGTTTAGTACCCAGTTATCCTGCGAGACTCCAGCTATGTTTAGTACCCAGTTATCCTGCGAGACTCCAGCTATGTTTAGTACCCAGTTATCCTGCGAGACTCCACCATTAAAATGGTATAAAATACCGACAGGTTGTTAGGTAAGACACATATGCAACAATTAGGTATCTTTATTATGAAACGTTTCGCCTACACAGTAGGCTTCTTCAGTCGAGTACAGAAAAGTTGATAGAAGCAGAAGAGACTTGAAGTCGATGTAATCAGTCCATCACCCTTAAAGTTTTGAGGTGGTCAGTCCCTCAGTCTGGAGAAGAGTATTGTTCCAAAGTTTGAAATGCTCTTCTCCAGACTGAGGGACTGACCACCTCAAAACTTTAAGGGTGATGGACTGATTACATCGTCTTCAAGTCTCTTCTGCTTCTATCAACTTTTCTGTACTCGACTGAAGAAGCCTACTGTGTAGGCGAAACGTTTCGAAATAAAGATACCTAACTGTTGCATATGTGTCTTACCTAACAAGACTCCACCAGCTGTGTTTAGTACCCAGTTATCCTGCGAGACTCCACCAGCTGTGTTTAGTACCCAGTTATCCTGCGAGACTCCACCAGCTGTGTTTAGTACCCAGTTATCCTGCGAGACTCCACCAGCTATGTTTAGTACCCAGTTATCCTGCGAGACTCCACCAGCTGTGTTTAGTACCCAGTTATTCTGCGAGACTCCACCAGCTGTGTTTAGTACCCAGTTATACTGCGAGACTCCACCAGCTATGTTTAGTACCCAGTTATCCTGCGAGACTCCACAGCTGTGTTTAGTACCCAGTTATCCTGCGAGACTCCACCAGCTGTGTTTAGTACCCAGTTATCCTGCGAGACTCCACCAGCTGTGTTTAGTACCCAGTTATTCTGCGAGACTCCACCAGCTGTGTTTAGTACCCAGTTATACTGCGAGACTCCACCAGCTATGTTTAGTACCCAGTTATCCTGCGAGACTCCACCAGCTGTGTTTAGTACCCAGTTATCCTGCGAGACTCCACCAGCTGTGTTTAGTACCCAGTTATTCTGCGAGACTCCACCAGCTGTGTTTAGTACCCAGTTATCCTGCGAGACTCCACCAGCTATGTTTAGTACCCAGTTATCCTGCGAGACTCCACCAGCTGTGTTTAGTACCCAGTTATCCTGCGAGACTCCACCAGCTGTGTTTAGTACCCAGTTATCCTGCGAGACTCCACCAGCTATGTTTAGTACCCAGTTATCCTGCGAGACTCCACCAGCTGTGTTTAGTACCCAGTTATCCTGCGAGACTCCACCAGCTGTGTTTAGTACCCAGTTATCCTGCGAGACTCCACCAGCTGTGTTTAGTACCCAGTTATCCTGCGAGACTCCACCAGCTATGTTTAGTACCCAGTTATCCTGCGAGACTCCACCAGCTGTGTTTAGTACCCAGTTATCCTGCGAGATTCCACCAGCTGTGTTTAGTACCCAGTTATCCTGCGAGACTCCACCAGCTATGTTTAGTACCCAGTTATCCTGCGAGACTCCACCAGCTGTGTTTAGTACCCAGTTATCCTGCGAGACTCCACCAGCTGTGTTTAGTACCCAGTTATCCTGCGAGACTCCACCAGGTATGTTTAGTACCCAGTTATCCTGCGAGACTCCACCAGCTGTGTTTAGTACCCAGTTATCCTGCGAGACTCCACCAGCTGTGTTTAGTACCCAGTTATCCTGCGAGACTCCACCAGCTGTGTTTAGTACCCAGTTATCCTGCGAGACTCCACCAGCTGTGTTTAGTACCCAGTTATACTGCGAGACTCCACCAGCTGTGTTTAGTACCCAGTTATCCTGCGAGACTCCACCAGCTATGTTTAGTACCCAGTTATCCTGCGAGACTCCACCAGCTGTGTTTAGTACCCAGTTATCCTGCGAGACTCCACCAGCTGTGTTTAGTACCCATTATCCTGCGAGACTCCACCACTGGTTTAGTACCCAGTTATCTGCAGACTCCACCGCTGTGTTTAGTACCAGTATCCTGCGAGACTCCACCAGCTATGTTAGTAGCCATTTCCTGCGAGACTCCACCAGCTGTGTTTAGTACCCAGTTATCCTGCAAGACTCCACCACGTTTGTTTAGTACCCACTTATCCTGCAAGATTCCAAACTAGAGTGTATCATGTTCACTGTAGAAAAGATCGTTCAAGGATTGGCACTCTATCTTAAAGCTGTGTTCAATATATATCGTTCAAGGCCCCGTAATAGGACATTATTGTTATTACATTCACTGGGGAGGGTTAAATCCGTAGGGGTCATAAAGCGCCTGGAGGAATGAACGGCATTCAGACTCGATTCAAGGCACTGGAGCACACGTCGCATTCTTTATCCGTAATGAGACATTTAGTGAAGTCTGTGCGCAGAAACTCGCGCATTTTCTATCTTTCCTCCATCACAGAAAACGGATAAAAGCGAAGGAAAACCCCAAACAAAATTGCCGCACTGAGGTCAAATGACTCATTACTCAATATTATTATTATAATCAAAAAGAAGCGCTAAGCCACAAGGACTATACAGCTCATTACTCAATAGCGCGGCGTCTCAAGTCTTCCTTCCGCTGTACACTTAAGTTACTCCTGGAACTCTTACGTGACGATATTCACCCTTCTATTATACGTCATCTCAGGACACCAATTTAAACACTTCACACTGACATTACTGGGTAATCCTACTTCCGATCTGAAGCTGTTTCTTTTTGAACTCTTTTAAGTGATGATAACCACATGTAATCCATGGTATTAATGTCAAAAGTAAATAACAAAAAGGCACAATACCGTGACTGGAACGATACACAAATACTACTACTACTACCTCCACCTCTTCCTGCCTATATATAGCCGTCCTGCTCCACCTCTGTTAGTGTGACCGAAACGTCGTCGTAAGCTTCTCTCTTTTATGTGCGGGTTATTTGTGTGTCAAAAGTAAAAATCATAAGAGCTAGGACTCGAAGCAATGGTTTCAACTTGGAAAAAAATAGATTTAGAAATGATATAGGAAAGCACTGATTTGGCAAAAAGAGTTGTGGATGAGTGGAACAAACTCCCAAGTAACATTATTGACGCTAAAACGTTCTGTTGTTATAAAAATAGGTTAGACATATACATGAGTGGGTGTGGGTGGGTGTGAGTTGGACCTGACTGGACTGGGCCACTAGGTAACTTAGGCTTGCCTAGCATGAGCCAGTAGACCTGCTGCAGTGCTCCTTCTCTCATATATTTTTAACTGATATCATTTAGATGAGGGATGTCTATTTATATATTTGTTTCATGTTCCAAGACATATCACTTTCAGCTCTGAGTTGCCATCCTCCCTCCAGGACTCTCCCACACTGGGTCATCTCACATTTTTGTGATACAGAACATCCCTCAGTTCGGGCTAAGAATGATGAAAACAAGTTGACACAAGACTTAGAGTTGCCAGGTGGGTAATGATGTTTGAAGTGATCCACCAGCTCCTGGGCCACAAGCAGAAAAAGAGAAGAAGTAAAAGAGAGAGAACTCTCGGGTTACCAGATAGAAGGAAACGCAAAGTACAAACGCTGGCACACAGATGGTACTGACATGCACTCACCCAGGGATTAACCTATAATGTTAAGTGTTGCCAGGCTCTTGATTATGTTATGTTTGGAATATAATCAAATAAAAACTAATTATTTCTTGAATTATAGAGACTATAAATCTTCCTAAATTACTAAACACAGTGGCTGGTTGTTAAAGCGGGCAACACCTACTTACTACTCGGAAAACACCTACTAACTTCTCGGGAAAACACCTATTTACTGCTCGGAGAACGGTGCAACAGTTTCCAATCGTACCAGGATCAAACTCTGGACCCTCAATTACAAGTATAAGGCACTACCACCTGAGCCACCTGTCCTGATTTCCGAGGATTTCCTCTTCAGAAAATATGAAGAAGAAAACACAGTATTGGATCCACTAAGCCGCACCACTGATGAACATATTTAAGACCTGTGACCTTGGTATCCATCCTGAAGGTTTCCAATACAAAATGTCTGCAAAACATTTACTTTATATTACAAACGAATTTCTTGATTTTGCGTGATAAAGAGGTGATGACATACACATGAAACAGCACCGGTCCTAATACTAATTCTTGTGTAACCCCACTCGCTACATGCACCCATTCCTATACCTCTTCACAGACACTCGTTGTTTCCTTCCTGTCAAGTATGCCTTCATCCACACGGTAGTGCTTTCCCAGTCATTCCTGCCTGTTCCTGTAGCTTTTGTACCAGTCTCTTGTACAGTACTGTCAAAAGTCTCCCTACAGACTGGGCAGGCGATGCAAAATGCCCCCAATAAAAAGTAGGGGCGCCATTGGTACACTAAGGGAAAACACCATAAGTGTCCGGGGCCCAAAACTGTTTAACAGCCTCCCATCAAGCATTAGGGGAATTGCCAATAAACCCCTGGCTGCCTTCAAGAGAGAGCTGGACAGATACCTAAAGTCAGTGCCGGATCAGCCGGGCTGTGGCTCGTACGTTGGACTGCGTGCGGCCAGCAGTAACAGCCTAGTTGATCAGGCCCTGATCCATCGGGAGGCCTGGTCATGGACCGGGCCGCGGGGGCGTTGATCCCCGTAATAACCTCCGGGTAACAGTCCAGAGTATATGTGTGTGCATGCACTATACATGAATGTACTCACCGGCGTCTCTCCTGAAGAGTCCTCTGAGGGCGTGGTGGGCGGGGTGTGGGCGGTGTTAGTGTGAGTGGAGCGGGTCTCCAGGGTGGGGGCAGAGCACGCCTTCCCCTGAGATGGGTGCTGGTGAGAGGAGGAGAGAGACAAGTGACGGGGTCGCGGGGGTTTTGACGGAGCGATGGGTGGCTTGTCCTCCGTCAGGGTGGGTAGCGTAGGCGCCGAGGGCGTGAAGTGGGAGCGGGAGGTGAAGGGGAGAGGAGGCAGGGTGGCCTCACTACACACTATGCGTAGCACGCCCGCCATGGGCGTGATGGGCGCGTCGAGGCGGGGCTCGCTGTGTGTGTGTCTCACGGAACGTTCCTCTGTCCGCCCGTGACGGTGCTCCTCGCTGATCTCGCGGAGGCTGTCGTGGCCGCCTACCTCGAGGGCGTGAGAAAGCGTGGGCGGCTCGGGATCAGTCTGGGTGGTCTGGTCCTCCCGTCGCACCCACTGCTCTTGTTGCCGCGGGCGTGGGCGCCGCCTGCGGTAGTGCGTGCTGTGCTCGCTCTCCCTGCAGCTGCGGTTGTACGGGATGTACCGTCGGATCTGTCGTTCGAAGCTGTTCTCCAGCCCCGTGTCCTCCGAGGAGAGGTTGGAGCCTGAGAGGTCGAGGGCTGCCTGCAGGTGCGGGCTGAGTGACGGTCTTGTTGACACCGTCCCGATCCCAGACTCCCCGTTGATGTCCAGTGTGTCTAGCGACTCCGACAGCGACAGCGAGGAGTCGTCGCGAGGCAGGGACGCGGGTGTGGGTGGCGGTGACGAGGAAGAGACAGAGACGCCCGCAGACCAGTCGTCATCATCGTCGTCATCGTCTTCTTCATCCTCACCGTAGTCGTCTTCGGTGGCACTGAGTGCCAGAGACGAGGCGCAGGGCTCCATCGATGCCAAGTCGTCACAGCCACAATCACTGAGCCAGGTGTCAGACGACGCCCTGGAAGCGGGCGGGGGCGTGGGTGAGGGCGTAGTCTGAGTACATGCGTCCAGCACCACAGTGGGTGAAAATGAGAGGTCATGGATGGTGGTGGAGGCCGGGGTGGAGGCCGGGGTGGAGGCAGGAGTGGAGGCAGGAGTGAAGAGTGGTGACGGAGGGATGTAAGGAAGAGAGACCTCCCTGGACGAATGATCAACACTGCCGTGGCGGATCCTAGACTCCACAGCTCGCAGGAAGTCGTCCAGGGCCTCAGGATGATGCTGCAACGACAGGTTGTGTTAACATAAAGGAACAACAACACAGAAATACTGATATGCAGTGTTCCCTATTACACGAATCATTTAATGGGCACCGTAAATACGCTGTGTAGGAAGAACACAAAAACTATTCCAAGCGCACAAAACACATAGAAACTTATCTAAGTAAAACACAATGTATATTTGCAAATTCAAACAGATGCACACTCACACATGCATACACAGGAGCTGAGTCTCGACCCCTGCAACCACAATTACGTGAGTACACGACGGTAACAAACACACAAGAGGCCAAGTATGCATCGACAAATGCATCTGACAGATAGTACCTAACCCCCCCACACACACAATAAATATTACAAATAAATAAACATCGTAAATGTAGATAACAATACAACTTCGAGAAATATATTGCACACCAGTGCAAGAGGAAATGTTGTCTATCATGAAAAAAACAGTGTATTGTGGCTGAGCAAGATACATTATCAAACGAGGAAGAAGTGATTTTTATTATGAATGAGGCTCCTTAAGGGAGGTCCCTCATGACGGTGAAGGGCTCTTGATGCGAGGACTCGGGCTTGTCTTTCCCTAGTGCTGTATGATAACTATGCAACTGGCACTCCACATGAATGTAATAAGAATAATTTATGACCAAGACTGACAGAGAGAGGAGACCACACACACACACACACACACACACACACACACACACACACACACACACACACACACACACACACACAGCTTTAAGAAAAGGTATGATACAGCTCACGGAGCTAGAAGAGTGACCGGGTAGCGGCCAGGTGAAGAGGCGGGGCCAGGAGCTGTGACTCGACCCCCGCAACCACAACTAGGTGAGTACACACACACACACACACACATGGTACACACACACATGGTACGTGGCGAGGTGTCAGAGTGGGCACCTGTGACCAGCGGGGTCTCACAGGGGTCAGTCCTAGGACCAGTGCTGATTCTGGTATTTGTGAAAGACATGACGGAAGGAATAGACTGAAGTGTCCCTGTTTGCTGATGACGTGAAGTTGATGAGAAGAATTCATTCGATCGAAGACCAGGCAGAACTACAAAGGGATCTGGACAGGCTGCAGACCTGGTCCAGCAATTGGCTCCTGGAGTTCAACCCAACCAAGTGCAAAGTCATGAAGATTTGGGAAGGGCAAAAAAGACCGCAGACAGAATACAGTCTAGGGGGCCAGAGACTACAAACCTCACTCAAGGAAAAAGATCTTGGGGTGAGTATAACACCAGGCACATCTCCTGAAGCGCACATCAACCAAATAACTGCTGCAGCATATGGACGCCTGACAAACCTCAGAACAGCATTCCGACATCTTAATAAGGAATCGTTCAGGACCATGTATACCGTCTACGTTAGGCCCATATTGGAGTATGCGGCACCAGTTTGGAACCCACACCTAGCCAAGCACGTAAAGAAACTAGAGAAAGTGCAAAGGTTTGCAACAAGACTAGTCCCAGAGCTAAGAGGTATGTCCTACGAGGAGAGGTTAAGGGAAATCAACCTGACGACACTAGAGGACATAATAACGACATACAAAATACTGAGAGGAACTGACAAGGTGGACAAAGACAGGATGTTCCAGAGATAGGACACAGCAACAAGGGGACACAGTTGGAAGTTGAAGACACAGATGAATCACAGGGATGTTAGGAAGTACTTCTTCAGCCACAGAGTAGTCAAGAAGTGGAATAGTTTGGGAAGCGATGTTGTGGAGGCAGGATCCACACATAGCTTTAAGCAGAGGTATGATAAAGCTCACGGTTCAGGGAGAGTGACCTAGTAGCGACTAGTGAAGAGGCGGGACCAGGAGCTTGGACTCGACCCCTGCAACCTCAACTAGGTGAGTACACGCACCATCAACTTCTCAACAGTACTGATGAAAACCTTCCACCCTCCCTTCTCCAACACTCTATCCTTCCACATCCACCTTCATTTACCATTCTACTTCTCTCATATCCAGCTCTCCTGCCCTCCCTCCCTTCTACACCTTCCATCTCTCTCTCTCTCTCTCTCTCTCTCTCTCTCTCTCTCTCTCTCCTCCCTGTCCATACCCACCTCCGTCTTCCCTCCAACATCCATCTCTCCTACCTCCTCCATCACACTACCTCTTCCATCACACTACCTCTCCAAATACAGCTTTACCTCCATATTGCTCACACAGCCACCTTTCACATTTTATTTACACCTGATGTAGAGACCACACAACACACCTGGTGTAGAGACCACACAACACACCTGGTGTAGAGACCACACAACACACCTGGTGTAGAGACCACACAACACACCTGGTGTTGACAGACCACACAACACACCTGGTGTTGACAGACCACACAACACACCTGGTGTTGATAGACCACACAACATACCTGGTGTTGATAGACCACACAACATACCTGGTGTGGAGACCACGCAAAACACCTGGTGATGATTGACCTGGGCTACACCACAATGCACTGACACACACACACACACACACACACACACACACACACACACACACACACACACACACACACACACACACACACACACAAAGGGAAGGCACTACAATGGATCAGGGAATACCTGTCAGGAAGACGAGTCATGGTACGTGGCCAGGTGTCAGAGTGGGCGCCTGTAACGAGCGGGGTGCCACAGGGGTCAGTCCAAGGACCGGTGCTGTTTCTGGTAATTGTGAACACCATGACGGAAGGAATAGACTCCAAAGTGTCCCTGTTTGCAGATGATGTGAAGCTGATGAGAAGAATTCAATCGGACGAGGACTAGGCAGAACTACAAAGAGATCTGGACAGGCTGCAGGCCTGATCCAGCAACTGGCTCCTGGAGTTCAACCCCACCAAGTGCAAAGTCATGAAGACTGGGGAAGGGCAAAGAAGACCACAGACGAAGCACAGTCTAGGGGGCCAGAAACTACAAACCTCACTCAAGGAAAATGATCTTAGGGTGAGTATAACACCAGGCACATCTCCTGAAGCGCACATCAAACAAATATAACTGCTGCAGCATATGGGCGCCTAGCAAACCTCAGAACAGCATTCCGACATCTTAATAAGGAATCGCTCAGGACCCCCCTGTACACCAGTATGGGCCTAACGTACACTGTATAGGGGGTCACAGTTGAAAGTTGAAGACTTAGATGAATCACAGGGATGTTAGGAAGTATTTATTCAGTCACAGAGTTGTCAGGAAGTGGAACAGTCTGGGAAGTGATGTAGTAGAGGCAGGATCCACATATAACTTTAACCCTTAAACTGTCCAAACGTGGATCTACGTTCGCTCGCGTAGCGCTCCGAACGTAGATCTACGTTTTTTTTTTTAACATGCTTACAGATGGAGAAAATCAAGGTCGGAGAGCTACGCACGTAAACGTGAATCTGCCTTTGAACAGTTTAAGGGTTAAGAAGAGGTATGATAAAGCTCGTGGAGTGGGAAGAGTGACCTAACAGCGGCCAGTGAAGAGGTGGGACCAGGAGCTGTGACTCGACCCCTGCAACCACAACTAGTGAGTATAACTAGGTGAGTACACACACACACACACACACACACACACACACACACACACACACACACACACACATATCTTAGCAAGATTTCACTGTTCCCATTTCTACTCTCAAGCACACGACATAATCTTCAAATCTTTGACCATATAAAGGTTGTGACCTCAACTGAACACCTCGAACGCCTCCATAAAACTGTTTACAAATTACTTTTATGTTCGTGTGTACATTACATTTACTTATACAGAAAATATTATTGTTTAGTTATGAGATGAGAGAGGGAATTCTTTCAAACGTCGGGTTTAATAACGATGTACATTACATCAATAGTTTTACTATGGTGAGCGAAAATGAATGACGTCTTAGACCACTAGACCACACAATCCTCAACAATGGTGCATCTAGCCAAGCTAGATGTTGTATCCACCATCGAAAGACATACGGTGGTGTGGACGCCTCTGAGCTAATTTCATTCTACTCCCTGTTTGTGTACTAGCTAAAAAATAATATAATATGCTGCTTGTTAAGGATTGTGTGGTCTAGTGGTCTAAGGCGTCATGCATTTTCGCTATATATATATATATATATATATATATATATAATATATATATATATATATATATATATATATATATATATATATATATATATCGTGCCTAATAGGTAAAACTGGTCAATTAGCAAGAACTCATTTAAAATTAAGTCCTTTCTAAAGTTTTCTCTTATACGCTTAAAGATATATTTTTTTCATTGATGTTAATGTAAAGATTTATAATTCAAGCGCAATTTATTTTAGCCTACTCCAAATAAATATATTTTAGATACGTTTATAATAATTTAATACCAAACAAACGCAATGAAATATATTTTTTTCGTTAGTTTCAGAATGATTTTTGTGAAATCATTTTCGTTTGTCTTATATGGCAAGATGAGCGTTGCTATTTAAGCCAAGATCGCAAGTTTTACATATTCCGCACGACACACACACACACACACACACACACACACACACACACACACACCTGACGACACTGGAGGACAGGAGAGATAGGGGGGACATGATAACAACATACAAAATACTGAGAGGAATTGACAAGGTGGACAAAGACAGGATGTTCCAGAGATTGGACACAGTAACAAGGGGACACAGTTGGAAGCTAAAGACACAGATGAATCACAGGGATGTTAGGAAGTATTTCTTCAGCCACAGAGTAGTCAGTAAGTGGAATAGTTTGGGAAGCGATGTAGTGGAGGCAGGATCCATACATAGCTTTAAGCAGAGGTATGATAAAGCTCACGGCTCAGGGAGAGTGACCTAGTAGCGATCAGTGAAGAGGCGGGGCCAGGAGCTCGGACTCGACCCCCGCAACCTCAACTAGGTGAGTACAACTAGGTGAGTACACACACACACACACACACACACACACCAAGGTATGTTGTTCAACTTACCGACTGTGTGGCGGAGTTCACTAGCTTGATGTGATTATTTAGAGAGGAGCGCGTCTCGTCCAAGGAGTAGCTACGATACCTTGGAGGAGGCCGCAGAAGGTCGCTCTCGAACTTGTCTCTCGCTTCGTCCCTCCTCCAGCAGCACGCCGCTGAGCCCTTCACACTGCTTGAGAGGTCTGTCACACCACTGTCCTTCGTGTCGCTCCGTCCAAACATCTGTCTCGTTGGTGTGACGTCACCCTTGGTGTCTCCGTCGTGAAGGGTAATATTGCCCAGGTGGACACACAGAGAGTCATGAGCTGCGTCCACTGGTTCCTCCGTTGCAAGTTGCGTCGTCACTTCCTCGTCTCTCGAATCACTGACGTGCACTTCCGACTTATCGCATATGGTACTTATGTCACTACTTTCATTCGTGGAGCTGAAAGAAAGGTTGCTCTTGTGTCTATCTTTCCTGCGGTCTTCAGGAATACACACGGAAAAGATGATGTCCGCGCGGTCTTGAAAGCCTGCGGGAGGCAGCTGCAGTACTCCAGTGACTGGGGAGGGCATCCTCTCCTTCGATGCCTTCATCTGAGACAGATGTGTGTCGCTGCATGACTCTCTTGCAACACCTGCCCCTCCTTTCCTTTCATTCATGATCACGTCTTCTTCTTCGTAGGGCCAGCCCTTGAAGGCTAGGTCTTCGGATGTGAAGGGGACGGTCATGGCAGTAGGATCGAAGAACACGTCGGGGGAGAGATACTGTTGGGCTACGGGGGACGAGGGCCATGAGTCGCACTCTGAGTGGTCCGGGTGGACACTCAGGTGCGACAGGGAGGAGAGGGACGAGTTAAGTGAGCGGGAGGAGGTGACACTGGCGGAGGCGGGGGAGGTGGGTCTCACTACACTCCCAGTGATGGGCTTCTCCTCCAACTCTACCTCCAGTTCGTCAGCCGGGGGCAGAGTCTCCCAGGACGAGGTGTTAAACATCGGGGCGGGCACCGTCAGCAGAGATAGACTGCCGAAGGCCCTCGGAACGGGCAGTGTGTGTCTGCGACCGTCCAGATGACCTGGCAGACCTAATACACTTAGCAGGGAAGGTTCACTCTTCCGTCCCATCCCGACCCCTTCTCTGTTACACGACACTCTCTCACTTGTCATTTCTCTCTCAACGGGAGACATCTCACACAAATACACTTCGTCAGAGTAACTTGTATTTACAGTATCAGGGGGAGTTACACACACAGACACACTGTCCCTACACTGAGCATCAACTTCATCTCTCGTACCTTCGTTCTCGGGCACCGCTACCCCAGAAGGTGACGACACCGCTGATGCTTCACCCTGACTCGGCAAGTCCTCCTGTTTGGAGTTGTCTTGTGGTGCGGAGGCAGCCATCTTGGCGTAACACCGAGGACAGGTGGCTGGGTCACAGGGTCGGTCAGTGAGGCTGCAGGCGCCCTCCTCATCCGCCCACTCCCACGTCTCACTCACGCCCTTCCCCAGGTCCTCCGGAGTGAAAGCTGAGGAACCGTTATTGCCGAAGAAGTTTTCGGAAACTCTGCGAAGCTTGGCAAAGTCGGTAGAGTTCGTGGCCTCGGCCCAGCCATTAGCTAGACCACCGCTGCCGCCGTTTATCTGGTACCGCTCCACAAGACCAGGCCGAAACTGCTCGTTGTCTTTTTCCCCGTAGCCCGTCTTCCTAGTCTTGCCGTAGCGCCCCTCCGGCAAGCTCCTTTCCGCCATGTCCGAAGGGGCTCGGGGCACGGAGGGCACATCCCGAGGCTCGGAGTGAGAGACAGTGTAGAGGGCAGATTGGCTGGCACTGCTCCCTACATGGACGGGCGTGGGTGGTGACCTGGCGTGGGTGCCATCCATAGAAGACAGGTGGTGTAGCGCCCAGGGGCTAAGTCCTGCCCCCTCGTCCAAGGAGTGTGAGCGTGAGAAGCGAGGGTTGACCCGCAGCAATTGACAACTGACGTCTGTATCATCTGGGTGGGCGGAGGAGACGCGGTAGGTGACGGCGCCGGCGCCGCTAAGACTGACGCTGCGGTGACCGCTACTACGAGGCAGTGTGTAGGTCTTGAAGGCCGCTGACCGCTCCCCCGCCCACGCCTCGCCCCGACCTGCACTTTGAGTGGCACCCATTTTGTCGGTGAGGGCAGGAGTGGCCTGGCTTACTGTGTGTCGTGGTACACCATAATTCTGGTCACTTATTGACCTCTCACGCTTTCCACCGTGGCAGTTTCCAGGGCTGTCAGAGGCTCTTCCAAGCTCGTGCCCTCCGTCGCTCAAGAAGCTCTGGAAGCGGAAATCTAGAGAGCCGTTGGCGGTATCTGGCGGAGGAGTGTGGCTGTGTAGAGCACGGATCTCTTCCTCCACCAGGGAGTGGAAGTCCTTCAGCAGACCCGAGGACCACTGCTGCAGGAGTGGGTCTGTCCGGGGCTGCCAAGGTGGCGGCGAGGAGCCACCATTGCGAGCACTACCGAGGGCTGGCGCGGAGACACGACGGTTCTTCCTGACGAAGCTGACGCCGCCTCGGCGTCTGGGTAGTGGGGGCGGGGTGGACGCCTCACGACGCCAGACACAGCCACCTTCCCACTTACCACCATTAGAGTAAACTTTGCGTATTTTAGACGGGGATCCCTGTCCGTCCGCCAAAGGTGGGCGTGCGGGCGTGCGTGGGCGTGGGTGGTTCTCCTGGTCGTCTGGCCTCTCTTCTTTCTCGCCGAACACTGAGTTGATCTCCTC